GCCCATTTCCGCACCCAGACTTACATAAGCTACAACTAAGAGTGGGCGTGTGGGCGGGCTTTGGATGGGTGGCAGCATTTAGGTTAAGTAAACACAACGAAATGCGATAAACGGCAAACAGCTAAAACTGCAAAACTCGACAAGAGACATAGAAAACAATCAAATGTATCTGTGTACGTTTTTATTGTAAATATACATTTGACACGAATTCAGCATTAATTGAAATGCTGCAGTCATCGCTAAACGCTCGCTGTTAATTCACATGAATTTGACATAAGCCTGAAAGGAAAAGAAAAAAAAAAAAACAAATACCAGTATGTATCTGTAGCTGTAATTGTGTGCGCGCTTGGCAACCGGGCAAAGGCGACGGCGGCGGCGGCGGCGCAACAACAAATGTGGCACACTTAAATGCTGCGTCAACGTCGCAGTCGCTGCGCGAAAAATTCCCCTACTCTCGGCCTCATGTACTGGCCCCTAGCACACAAACAAGCACGCTCTGTACATAATGTGTCAGCGAAAGCTACAAAAAAGCGCGTCAAATTTGAATTTGCTTAGAAGTGCGCGCGCCACACAGAGCGACGGGCAGAGAGAGCGAGCAGCGAGCGAGAGCGCAAAAGTTTTCGTTTAAAAAGCTGCAACTGCGGCAACGCAAGCGACAGCTACACGCGCTGTCACGTGTTTGTATTGCCTGTGTATGTGCATGTGTGTCTGTATGTGTTGTATATACATTATGCATGTATGTATGTATGTATATGTATGGCATGTAGTTTTGTGTAGCTCAGCAAGCTTTTTGTGGCGCACGTTAAGCTCGCGCCCGCGCTCGCTCGCTCTCCTTCTATCTCCCCGCTCTCTCTCTCTGTCGCACTGCCAACAGCGGCAGCGGCTGAGTCAGCACCATTAGTTTGAACACATTTTCTGTATGCTGCCAGCGGCAAGTCCAAGTTCTTTTTGTTTTTTCTATCGTTCATACATATATTCTCAACTCACACACACCACACTCGATTAGTTGCCTTTTCAAATGTTTATGCAGCATTGCCAACTGGCTGACAGATACAAATGCAGGCATTGCCATTGCCCCATTGCCCAGTCTCGCAGAGCTTACAACATTTGGTGGTCGGATCCCACGAAACCACACAAAAGCCACAACTGGATTTCTTTAATCTGACACGCTCTCTACCTGCGCGCGTGTGTGTGTGTGTGTATGTATTGCCATCTCTCGCCACACTTTCGCGCTCTAGCTACACTCTGCGCTCTGGTCGCTGCTGACCCAGTTTCCTAGGCCTGCACTGGCCAGGCGGGTTCGGGTTTTGGCTTTGGCTTTCACAACTTTCTTGTCGCTGCTTAGCTACACCCACCCTTGGCCCTTCAAGCCTACACCCCCCTTCCCTGCACCCTTTCCCGCTCTACAATTGCAGTTCAGTTGGAGTTGGCTTTCCATCGCACCGCCCCGCCCCGCTCTGCCACAAATATGTTCTAATGTCACATGCTCGGCGCTTGGGCCAACAAATTAAAACATTATCTTGTTAAATTGAAATGGCAACGGAAATTACCAAAATCGAAAATAAATTGCTTGCTTCAATGTGAAACGTGTCCTTTCTGAAAGGATTATACGCGCACATCTGTATGTGCGCATGTGTATATGTGTATAGCACACGCCATTTGAATAGGTACAGTGGGTAAGAAATCGTTATTGTATTGGGTGTAACTTGCTGATCGAGTATCTTATCATTTTTGATATTTACTTGCGTTGCTTCGATCATAAAATATAATCATAATTAATGAACATATATAAATAAATCGAATAAATGTTAAGTGCTTGCCGTAGCTAACGATAATTAAAAACGATCTAGATTACGAATATCGTTTGCTTGCGCTCTCTGCGTGTGCGTAGTTGACGATATTCGCAAGAAGCAAATCAACAGCAGCTAATATCGTATGCAATTCGCAACGAATATCGTTTGTTTACATCACGTCCGCACTGTTGCAATTTATCGAGCATTGATGCATATCGATAGGCAGCACTTTTTGCAGTGTTTTACAGTAATTTCAAGGGCATGGTAAACTAAGTGGAGACAAAACCAATTGTAAATTGTGCTAAGAAGTTGTTAAGTTTAGTGTTTAAATAAGTGTTTAATTATCATAAAAACAGTTATAGCGGGCAAAATGATCGTGAAGATTGTCGCCAGCTGCTGCATTTGCCGGCTGAGCTGACAAGTTGCGTGTTTTAATTAAATTGTCAACGTGTGTGTGTGTGTGTTCGTGTGCGTGTGCGTGTATGCAAAGCATATTTGTGCGCTCTCAAGCATGACAAACCCAAAGGGTGACAATGGCCAAATGTAGCCGCTGCAAATGTATCTGCTGGTAGGTGGAAGTTCATTGGAATGTCCGGTAGACCGCAGCACACACAGGTGAGATATGCACAATTACCAGGGCCTGGGTGAGCGGGTGGGTCGGGGCGGCCGGGGGCGCTGCGGTCAGTGTTGTCAAGTTGGTAATTTTTAAAAGCTAAATTTGGCTATGGCATCGTTGCAATTCAGCTACTTTTAGCTATTCTAGGACTTATGTACTTTTCTGAAGCGACAGTTGGCAACACTGGCAGCGGTTGGCAACATCGGCTGCGGTTGGCAACTGCCAGCCTGCGGCTTGGGCCGGGACAAAGTGCAGCCAGGCTGCACTGGCGTAACTGGAACACTTTGTACATGGAGTATATCTCTTATATAGACCTATGTCTATATTAACAGTATATATAGCGCCGGGGTATATATATTATCCTATATAGACATAGGTCAACATTTCCCAATCCCATAAGACCGTTAAATCTCATTCGATTTTCATGAGGTTTGACCTCTAGATCAATACCCTCAAAAATATCCTATACAGACTGTTGGAAGGATGAGTGTGTGAAATACACACAAACACTCATACATACAAAAGTTACAATGAACAAGTAGGCTTTTGTTATTTTCAGTCTTGATACTGAAAAGCTGCTATTGTTTAGCCTCAGTCTTTACTGAACTGCAGAGAGTAAAGAAGTTAACGTGCTCAGTAAAATAAAATAATAAATATTGAAATCAACAAATCTAAACAGTAAGTACTAAGTGTACATTTCAATACAGTCGGTCGAAATTTTCCACAAAATTTAACTTCAGCTCGAAGACAACTTATGCACTTTATGGCAATTGAAGATATAGCCTTTCAAGTCCGTCCAATCACAGTGGCATTTTTAATCGGCCGAACACTTTCCAAGGATTCTGTGAAGAAAATCTGCGCTGACAACAGATTCGTCACTCTGATAAAAGTTGTTAACATAGAGTAACAGGATACCAGATCTGGCCAACAAAGCGGCCGTTACGATATTCGACAATTCAACATGGGAGCGGTACACGATGAGTTTCTACGTTACGAAAATCTTTGTGTATGCCAAATCAACCCGTTTCGAACGATGCGACTATTCCAGATTGTTTCAATTCGTTTAGGCTGGAGTCTATCAAGATTCTCACTGTGCTTATTGTGCTATTGCTCATTTTTTATTCAAGAAGCCTGGTCGAATCAATTTGGGATTGAAGTTTCTCCGTGTCTATTTCTTATCATTTTTTTTTATTCAAGAAGCCTGGTCGATTCAATTTGGGATTGAAGTTTCTCCGTGTCTGCTCTTCTTTTTTATTCAAGAAGCCTGGTCGAATCAATTTGGGATTGAAGTTTCTCCCTATGTCTACTCTTCATTTTTATTCAAGAAGCCTGGTCGATTCAATTTGGGATTGAAGTTTCTCCCTATGTCTACTCTTCATTTTTATTCAAGAAGCCTGGTCGAATCAGTTTGTCAATGCCGAATCAACTCGTTTTGAAGGATGCGACTATTCAAGATTGTTTAAATTCTTTTAGGCTTGCATCTATTAGGATTCTAAGATTCTCACTGTGCTTATTGTGCTATTGCTCATTTTTTATTCAAGAAGCCTGGTCGAATCAATTTGGGATTGAAGTTTCTCCCTATGTCTACTCTTCATTTTTATTCAAGAAGCCTGGTCGATTCAATTTGGGATTGAAGTTTCTCCATGTCTGCTCTTCATTTTTATTCAAGAAGCCTGGTCAAATCAATTTGGGATTGAAGTTTCTCCCTATGTCTACTCTTCATTTTTATTCAAGAAGCCTGGTCGAATCAGTTTGTCAATGCCGAATCAACTCGTTTTGAAGGATGTGACTATTCAAGATTGTTTTAATTCTTTTAGGCTTGCATCTATTAGGATTCTAAGATTCTCACTGTGCTTATTGTGCTATTGCTCATTAAGAAGCCTGGTCGAATCAATTTGGGATTGAAGTTTCTCCCTGTGTCTATTTCTTATTTTTTTATTCAAGAAGCCTGGTCGAATCAATTTGGGATTGAAGTTTCTCCCTATGTCTACTCTTCATTTTTATTCAAGAAGCCTGGTCGAATCAATTTGGGATTGAAGTTTCTTCCCTATGTCTACTCTTCATTTTTATTCAAGAAGCCTGGTCGAATCAATTTGGGATTGAAGTTTCTCCGGGTCTGCTCTTCATTTTATTCAAGAAGCCTGGTCGAATCAATTTGGGATTGAAGTTCTCCCTATGTCTACTCTTCATTTTTATTCAAGAAGCCTGGTCGAATCAATTTGGGATTGAAGTTTCTCCGTGTCTGCTCTTCATTTTTATTCAAGAAGCCTGGTCGAATCAATTTGGGATTGAAGTTTCTCCCTATGTCTACTCTTCATTTTTATTCAAGAAGCCTGGTCGAATCAGTTTGTCAATGCCGAATCAACTCGTTTGAAGGATGCGACTATTCAAGATTGTTTTAATTCTTTTAGGCTTGCATCTATTAGGATTCTAAGATTCTCACTGTGCTTATTGTGCAATTGCTCATTTTTATCAAGAAGCCTGGTCGATTCAATTTGGGATTGAAGTTTCTCCCTGTGTCTATTTCTTATCATCTTTTTTATTCACGATTTCGTAAATTTTGTAATATGAGACTGAATAGTTTTCTAACATGTCTGAGCACAAATTTATAAATTTGGTTATCCATTATAATAAAATTGCAAAATTTTGTTGGTTATTTTTGTGCACACTTAACTTATCAATCACAGCCAGTTGATTGATTGACTGATTGAAGTTGTCTCTCTATCTCTATCTCTCTCTATCTCTCTGTCCCTCAGTCTCTGTCGCTGTCTCTATTATGAGCGAATTGACAGGAAATTGCGCTGCTGTCGCTACCAATTGGCATTCAAATAAAATCAATTCCAATCCAAAACTCGGTACTAGAAGAAAATGTGCTTGTACTTTTTGCATGCCTCCCGAAGAGCGAATACTCTTTGCCGAAGTTTAGTTGGGTTAATTTGGAAAACCAAAAAGTTCACCCTACATAAAACTAGTCAAGCAGGTCGATTTTTATACGCTTAGCCCATTAAAAATGGGTATAAGGGTATATTGTATTTGTGCAAAATCCAAATGTATGTAACAGGCAGAAGGAAGCATCTCCGACCCCATAAAGTATATATTCTTGATTTTTTAGATGTAGGTGCTCCTAGTGCCTGCGCAGATCGAGTTTGTTTCCGATAACTTACTCCGTTTCCAAGCAATCGATAAAAATCGATATCGATATCCTGTTTTTTGGGCAATTTTGGTAAATAAAAAGAGCTAGTCACCAAACTTGACATATAGCTTCAAAAATAGAATATATATACGCATTTGATGTTGGAAGAAGAGGGTTAAGGGTAGGGAGCTCCCGACTAGAACCTCTTACTTGTTTTTATATAGAACTATGTGAGAAAGTGATCCGTTCTTGGTTTAATGTTAATAGCAGAATTTTAAAGGACGGAAAACAGTTTCCCTGGAAAATCCTTTCTTTTTAGCTAATAAATCCTTTGAAAACTATTAGATATAGGGTTTCCAATCTGGCATCTAAGCCAAATATCTTCAATCTTTCTACAATTTATCCTCATAATTACATAGTTCGTGACAGAATCTGCATGCCTCAAATGGGAAGAGTATATAAAACAAAAACTGGCATGAGAAGTGCATTTAGCAATTTTGCTCACGTTTTAATTGCATTTCGCAACTCGAATTGACAAAAACAGGCAAATCTAACTCCACACACACACACATACACACTAGCACACACACACACACACTCGCTTTAGGGCTGGACATTGGCATAGGGTCCGATGGCAGCCGCCCTTGCCATCAGGGCGGGAATGTTGCTCTGCTCGTAGTTGCCGCTAAAGTACTGGGCATATGGCCCGGAGGCAAAGACGGCCACGTCGTCGCCACCGTGGGTATCCGCGTTGAGGGGCACCATCGCGGGGCTCACATAGAGCGGATGCTCCGTGTGCTGTTGGGTGATGCGTTTGCGGCCCTCGGCCTTGTTGTAGGTGCCATCAAAGCCGGGTCCATTGGCATAGGAGAGTATATTGTAGGGCAGCTCGTCGTCGGCCAGCTTATTGGCCAGGCCCGTAATCGCCTGCTCGCGCAGCTGCAAGGATTACCCAGAAGAGAATATAATCAGAGTAACAGGCGAAGTGGACTGGGAGCTCACCGGGTAACCATTGATGGTCATGACGTGCGAGTGATCCGAGGTGACAACAATCAGGGTATCCGACTCGTCGGTCATTTCGCGCGCCCGCTGCACGGCCCGTGCGAACTCGGCGGTGTCCTCCAGCGAGCGCCGCGCATAGTTCGAGTGATGCGCCATATCGATGCGTGCGCCCTCCACGAACAGGAAGTAACCCTGCTCGTTGCGCCGGAGCACGCGCAGCGCCGCCTCCGTCAGCTCGGTGAGCGAGGGATCCGCTAGATGGCTGTTCCTGGGACTGCGTGCCCGATCGCCGTCGTAGGGCAGATGGCCGTTGGCAAACAGGCCGAGCAGATAGTCCGTGTTGTCCAGGTCCAGCTGGGTCAGGCCCTTGCGACTCCAGACGTAGCTGGCGCTGGCATTCTGTGCCTGCTTGTCGGCCAGCCAATCCTTGATCAGATTGCGTCCGTCCTGGCGATAGCCGGGATGGCCCACCTCATCGCGCATGCTGCGGTCCAGAAAGTTCTGCTTGCCGCCACCCAAAATAACCTTCAGCCGCTTGCCCACCTCCCATTCGACCAGCTGGCGGGCGATGTCGATGCTCTCCTCGGGATCACACTGCGCCTCGCTCACCTCCGCATCGTTCTCCCAGTTGCGATCAGCGATGTGGGCGTACATGCCTGCCGGCGAGGCGTGTGTGACACGTGCCGTGGTCACAAAGCCGGCATCCTTGCCCGCATCCTGCGCCCACTTGGCAATGCTGTCCACCTGATCCTCAGTCACATAGGCAGCCTTGCAGTCGTAACGGGGCACATTCGCATTGACCCCAATGGTGCCATAGTTGCCCTTGACACCGCCCAAATAGGCAGTCGAAGTGCAGGCCGAGTCGGCCACCTGCCGATTGACGCAGTACGTCTTGGCCAGACCCGTGTACGGGAACTGCTCGAAGTACACCTTCTCGGAGCTGTCGCCCAACAGATTCCGGGTGGCTGTCACCGTGTGCACGGACATGCCATCGCCCAGAAACATGATCACATTCTTCGCCTGCTTCGTTTGCAACGCCTCCAGAGCTGCCAGCTTGGCCGCCAACGTACTCTGCGCCTTCTCCCGCCAGTAGCTGCTCTCCGTCTCCTGCTCGTACTTCAGCGCCGGCGAGACGCGCGACGCGGAACGAGCATGTTGTTGGTCTGCAATTGAATGGAGTCTTGACTAATCTTTCCTCTGGTCATGTGCTTATCAACTGGTCTCTATCGATTTATGGCCCCGATAAGCAGCCAATTAATTGCAATCTAAGCTAAGAATTGCTAAAAACAACAAACTCCCAATAACTATTTCGTCTAGCTGCTGAAAATGTGTTGTATATTAAATTTAATTCAGCCTAACCATAAAACTTTCTTCCTTCAAGATAAGTGGACGCAATATATATGGGCACCACAGTAAGGTGACCCTGGAGCTGTCAACTTCTCTATGAGTTCAGGGTCTTGGAAGCAGGGTTGGGAATATTTAATCAGTATAAGTGTTTGGTCGCTGGTTCAAACCCAGCAGCAATTATCAACTTAAATATAAGTTTATTTAATAATTTTATTTCTAATAATTTTTCTATATGTTTCTATACAAGCGCAAGGTCGCTGGTTCAAACCCAGCACAAATTTTGAAATTGTATATTTAATATTCATATTTATATGAAATTTTCTTTATATTTCTATAAAAGCGAAATGTATGTTTTTTTTATATTCCTATATATATGAACTTTTCTATTTCCTGCTTTATTTTCGTTTCCTAGACTTGCCTGGATTTGAACTCGCTTGCGCGTTGTTTATTTGCCTTAATGACTAGTTCACTTGAAACACTTCTAAGTGGGACTTCATGTTGGAGATTTCGTTGTGAAATTTATAAATAACTCTTCTTGCCTGAGGCTTAAGCTGGAAACCTTCTTCTCCTCCTAATCTAGGAACTCGGTAAACACTTTCCTGAGAACTCATACACAAAAACTTAACTCGAGAAGTAATTGTAAGACACACTCCAGCTTCACATCTTCACATTGTGTTTTAAACATTTGAGATTTCTTGAATCTTCCACTGAATCTTCCATTGAGATTTCTTGAATCTTCCATCTGATCTGAGAAGAGACTCTCCGCTCTTGAACACACCTTTTTCGGCTTGAACTACAGCCAGCAATAGTAGAGCGCTGGCAAGCAGCAAACAAATTCTATAATATTGTCCCATTGCACGCTGGACGCAATCGAGTTGTGTTTGCCCAGATCAGCAGGCGTAGTTGCACTGAAAGGTCCGAGTGGACGAGCTGTTCGATAATCTTGGCACGCACACGTAAATCTAATCAGCGAATTCTACGTAATCGCAGGAAAAAAATCAAATCAATTTATGGCTAACACGTTAACTAAATATTAAAGGAGATTACATGTGCCTGAAGAGGGGACTCTTGCACAAGGGCCGGGATTAGTGCAGCATGCAGCAAAAACAAAAACAAGCAAATTGCTTGAGTGCTTGTTTATATATATGTATATATATTATAAATAATATATACTCTTCTGTGGCATATGCCCAACGATCTTTTCATTCAATTTTTTCTCGATAACTCCGCATATTTTCATAATGTCGATAAATATCGATTTTGAGACATTATCTTTAGGGCATAATTCGAGAATTATAAGAGCTAAATGCTCAAAATTTGGAATCTAGATTCTCATATACTATATATAGAGCTTATCATTTAACTTTTTGCTGATAACTCTTGCTGTTTTCTGATAATCGATAAATATCGATTTTGAGACATTATCTTTAGGGCATATTTTGAGAATTATAGGAGCATAATGTGCCAAATTTTAAATGTAGGCTCTGGTATGTTTTATGCATGTTAAGAATATTTAATACTTATAATATTTGGATACTAATCAATTATGAATATTTGTAGCTTATTAAAAATGTGTGTATAGCTTAAAGCTGTGTGCAGGGTATTACCTAGTCGACCAAATTTGATTGTTTGGTTGAAGTTATCTGGCGTTAAGTCTGCCATTGTGTACTTTTTTCTCACAATCTGCAAAGAATATTTCAACTTCGACGTGTTGATGTTTGGCTTGCTTTCTTTTCACTTAAGCTCGTTACGTATACGCTCCGTATGCCCGATGGGCAAGTGCTGACCCCTTCGGAGCTGCCCATTTAGTTCGTTTTTAATCAAGCAGCACACAGAGAGTGTACATTGCTTTGCTTTGTCCTGTTGTTGTCCTCGTTACAGACGCCTTTTGACGTCATCGCCAGCAGCAAATGCAAATTTTCTAATATGAACTCGATCAAATGCAAATAACCGAGTCGCCCACCTGCTGTGAATTAAATAGAACCTTTGTGCCAGCAGCTAATCCTTTTCAAAGGCTAGAAATGAGCTCAAATCAAATTGAGATTGTGCTAGAGAATATTTTAATAAAACTTAAACTACAATTTGGTATTGAAAAGAAAAATTGAGCCCAGGAAAGAGAAGGGGTTTTCTTTCTACTATTCAATATATTCAGGGGAATGCGTGAAATGCCGAGTTCAAATCGTAAGAAAAGCAGTTTTATTACTTCTTCAAAGAATCGACATTTTCTCCGCAAAAGAACTTATATTATTTCTTCGAAGATTCTAGATTTTGTTCTTTCAAGAAGTTTTTTTGTTACCCCAAAGAAGTTTCTTCAAAGAATTGTAGCTCCCTTCGGGCTTAGACTGTTTAAAACAATGCTAAATTACATAGAATATATACTCAGGAATTTTTTAATAATTGATTTCATATTTGTGCACAATTTGATGGGCGAACCTCGCACTTAATCCAACTGATAAACAAGTCGAGTGCTTGAAGAGCTGTGCTGCATACTTTTGGGGCGAGTGTTAAGTGCCACGCCCACTTGGGTGCTATATACATCTGGACTGAGCCAACCCCAGCTCCATGTTGCAGCTGCTTGTGGCGCCAGTTTGTTGCAATTTTGTTTATCAATTGCTTTGCCCGCTAGAGTATTGTCTTGGCCAGCGCCACAATGGAGCCCGTAAACTTGATGACCTGCAAGTGGAGAGGAAAAAATGGCAGACAGAGCATGAGTCCTTGCTGTAAATCCTGTGGCACACACGCACCGCTGTGAAAACGGGCAGGGAGGGCGCAAAGAAGGGCACCTGCACCGTGATGGGTCGCTGGGCGCGCAGGATGAGCAGATAGACACGGTGACGCACCGCCCGATTCCACAGATACCAATGGCTATTGTAGGCAGCCTCGCCCAGCTCCAGACTCTGTTAAGCATAGCCGATACATATATATATATTATATATATAATGAGCATAACCCACCGCTGTTGACATTTCGGTGCCTCCGTAACAGTAGAGAAATAAACAGGAGCTTACGGTGCCAGCATAGACCACATAGCGTATGATATTGTAGCCGGAAAACTGCCAAAAGTCAAATGAAAGTGAACATTTTGAAGGAAATGCATGTATGAGGAGGCTGTCCAACGGGAAGATACCCTAAAGGCAAGTCTTTACATTTGAAAAGAAATAACATATCCAAGTTTGGACTTACAGGAAGGGAACTTTTGCAAGTGTATACTTTATAGAATATAGCTACTTTATAGAATATAGCTATCTCTCTCAGAATTATGATATTAATACAGTATATCGATGAATGAATGTGGTATCAAATGCTCACCAGCAGTATATCGATAACACTTGTGGCTATCACTAAGCTGGCCGATAGAAACTGGGCAAAAGTGGGCGCGGCCATAATCACCGAAAAGCGTTGAACAATGCCAACAATTTCATTGTGACGATCGATAATATTACGCAGCTGTTGGCAACAGCGTTTGCATTCACGTGGACTGGGATCTGCAAGAGAAAACATGAGCGGAAGGTGAAGGAGAACTCACCGCGAACTGGCTTAAGTAACTGGAAAAGATTAGAACTCACCGCAAAGTAGCTTAGGTAGCTGGAGTGGAGAGTAGAATTCAACTTGAAGTAGCATAAGTAGCTGGAGTGGGGAGTAGAACTCACCTCGAAAAAGCTTAAATTGCTGGAGAGGGAATTAGAACTCACCTTGAACATGATAAGCAACTTAGGTTGTTCAAGACTCACCTTAAAAAGGCTTAAGTAGCTGTATTGTACAATAAAACTCACCTTGAAACAGTTTAAGAAGCTATGGTGAATTTAAATTCACCATGAACTAGCTTACATTGCTGAAGAGGGGATTTAAACTCACCTTTAACTGATTTAAGAAGCTGGGCTGATAGAACTCACCACGAAATAGCTTAAATAGCTTGAGAGGAAGTTAGAGCTCACCTTGAAATGGAGCTATGGTGAATTTGAGCTCACCTTAAGCCAGCTTAAAAAGAGTGATGATTAGACCTCACCTTGAACTGGTTTCAGTACGCGTTGCAGGTCCATTTGCAGCGCTTTGAGCAGGAATGTTACATAGAGCGTGAAGCTAAAGAAGAAGCCGTCGGTGCCAACAAAGGCATAGACCGTTATTTGACCGCTCCACGTGGAGTAGAGATAGGCCAGAGGATATAGAGGCAACCGATGTGCCACAGCTGGAAAGCTAAGCGGAGTAGATAAGTTGAAGTGGAGAAATATCAGCGAAAATAATAGCACCTACTGCATACGAAAGGGCATATCGTATTTAAAGGGCAGCTGGCGACGCGCCCACATCTCCCAGATGGAGCGCAGCACAAAGGCGCCCGTATTGATGCAGCCCAGCGTAAAGATGAGCATGGCCAGCAATGTGGCCATGCGATAATAGCTACGCTTCAACTCCATTCGCTCCGCATTCCGCTCCTTCTCGGTCAGCTGACGAATGCGCCGGATGAGGGCGGCGACCTCCACGCGACTGCGCCACATGCAGCCCATCTTGAAGAGCGTCGTCAGGCTGCAGGCCAGCGGGCAGAAGGCGTCCATGGCGTCCACCGGGCTGGTGCTCATGTAATGCCAGCCAAAACTGAACTCCGCCTGGCAGCAGTGCGCCAGATTCGCAAAGTTAAAGATCAGCCACAATGTGGACCAAAAGGTGGACGCCCGCTCGAAGCGTAAACCCAGCAGGCCAAACGAGTATCGGGTCACAAAGAAGAGATGCTTGTCCAGCGGATAGTCGCTGCTCAGATACTTCGGATACATTTTGTACAACTAATTGCGCTGGCTCCAAGCATTTCACTATTTATATAGCCCACATAATTATTGGAGGGGGCAGACTTAATAATACGATGCGGATAAACTAATTAGCCGTTTGTTTTGATGCCTGTTTGGCATATTAAATGGCTTAATTAAGGGTTTGAAAGGATTGAACACCCGCAACGTAATGGAAATTAACGCAAAGGTGCCTCTAAGCGTAACGTTTCCATATAATCATACACTTAACTGTAAGTTAAGCAGATGGAAATTTAAAACAAAAGTCATATAATTAGTGAAAGCTAAAGAAGTCTTTGAATCTGAATTTATGTAACCAAATAAAGGAAGGAGAAGGAGATCAGAAGAAGGAAAGGGGCACAAAATGAGAGAGAAACGGGAGGAGAGAGAGAGAGAGAGATCTAATTCAAGAGAATGCATAATCAAAGAATGAAGATCTCCAAGACAAAGTTGGCTTGATGAGAATCGCGTATAGAGGTCCTCTTTGAAAAAACGTTCGCGCCTAAAAGGAAGAAGAAAGAGGGGGGGGGGGGAAGAGAGCAAATGCAAAAGCATAAGCAAAATCCATAGTCAAGGAATGAAGAGACTAAGTTGACTCTTTGAGAATCGCATATAAGAGCTCTGTTTAAAGCTTGGCAGATTGAGAAAGATAGAGAGTGAGAGAGAAGAGATCAAATTCAAAAGAATTAATATTAACTAAATCAAGATCTGCAAGCCTAAGTTAAATTCATGAGAATCGCATATAGAGGCCCTTTTAAGATAATATTATTTTATTATTTCAAAATGAACTCTACTGTGCTTATTTTGCATCAGGAACTGTGGCGTTCCGAATACCAAATTGTATTTATGCTTTTTTCTTTAACTTGAAGACTTAAATTGAAATCTGAAGTCCGAAAAGTGTGCATCGAATTTTGGATTTCCGTTCGCAATCGCATTTTTTCCCACAATGTTAATTAAGGCGCAAGTCGTGGCATAAATCTTCAGGTTCTTGAACCCAATCAAACCTGAAGAGCTGTCGAATATATAACAAAAACGAAACGAGGAAGAGCATCAACATCTGTCAGGCAATTGGAATTTCAAATGGAGCCACACGAGTGCTACAATCCCCGATTTATATATAGATTTTTGTGGGTCACTATGTTTTTGCTGCCCTTTTCAGAATTCTTTGCGTACAAACGACTTTTGCATGCGCACATTTCTGATTTATGTTGATTTCTGTGCATATCAATTGGCCAGAGGAATTTATGCATGCAGCTCAAGCAAATCGAAATAAAATTCACAAAAGATGTTCAATTAGCCAGGCTAAGCGTGGGTTTGATTAAAGTAAAGACAAAGCACTTTAGTAAAAACTTATCTGGAAGATTGAAGTAGGTTTGATTATATTATCAAAGGGTCTTCGACCTTTTTATACCCAGTCATTGGAAAGTCAATCTTTCAATAATTCATTATAATTGCGCCTTGCTCCTGTCCTTTACTCATCTTATCCTGTTCTGAGAAAACCATCCTCTTCTGAGGGTTCTTTCCTTCATATATCCTATCCTGAGTATACGATCCTATTTCTAAGAATACTATCATATCTGAAGGATTCTGACCTATCCCTAAGTTTATATATTTTATCCTCAGGATACAGAATTGGGTCCTAAGATTATATACTGAATATACACTTTCCTATCTTAAGGATACAATCCTAATCGGAGGATACTATTCTATCCTCAAGACTCAATACTCAAGCTTCATACATTCCCATAATAGTTTCTCAAAAGACTTGTTTGTAAACTTGATTTGAAATCAACAATTCGGTTTGACAATCGAAGATTTTGACAGCTGCTGTCAACGTCAGCGTCAAGCTGTGCTAACTGCCCAACTGCATGCATTTTTAATTAATTCCCAAGCACACAGTTTGCCCAACTGTACCACGCTGCGTATACGCAATCAGAGGTGTGCTTATTGATTTTTCTTTGCTTCTGTTTTGCATTTTTTTTTTTTTTTTTGGCTTATTGCAAGTGTGCAAATTGTGACTTCATAGGTTTGACAGCCAGCTGCGAGGGCAGCTGCTACGCCAGGTTAACTATCGATTTTGCATAAAGGACACACATCAGTCGCGCACATCCTTGATGGCCAATATGCAGGCGAGCTGCTTCGTTTTTCTGCTGATATCATCGCCTCAAAATACTTTTGTTTGCCTTTAGCTACCCCCAAAATGCCAGGCAGGCAATGCGAGGCGAGGCCAGAGCCCCACCCAACCTCCCAACCACCCAGTCGCCATTCTGTTTTTGACTTTTATGACAAGAGGCAAATAAACGAACTAACTCACGCACACACACAGATACACATACACATTCGCACACACACCCACACACACACAGCCCAGCGACAACCCTCGAGGCGTTGAAAATGTTTCTGAATGCTCTCACATGCTTTTGATTTTCATACCCAATACCCTATAAAAAATGGCTAAGCATAGCGTATATTGCCATGGCCGAGTCTTTATGCACATTAAATTTTCAATCAGGTTGAATTTTGCTTTAATCAGGTCTATCTATATGTCTATATAGCTGCTTGAATATACAGCAATGGGGCTGTATATTCAAAAGTAAATAATTGGTTTTTCAAATCTTTGGCTTCTTCACTTCAAATCGATAAATATCGATCTTAAGCTACCTTTGATATTAAGGCAACAGGAGGCTTAGCTCCTTTCCATACCCTTGCCAAGGGCGCATTATTTTTGTCTCGAAATGTGTAACGCATAGAAAAAGATATCTTCGTATATACATTCTTAATCAGTATCAACGCCGAGTCAATATAGCCCATTTCCGTCTATCTGTCTGTCCGTTTCTACGCAAACTAGATTCTCAGTTTTACAGCTTTCGTCATGAAACTTTCCATACATCCCTTTTTCTGACATGCAATACATATGCTATATTATATAGTTACCAAAGGAAGTATCGGTCGCAAAGTAGGCTCTTGTATGAAAAACTTTTTTGTTTATCAAGATATCGTAACCAAACTCGGCAATTATTAGCTTTACTATTCTCCTCATATATATGCAAAATCCTATCAACATCGGACCACTTATCATAAAGCTATCATAGGAAAGATCGTTCGAAAATGAGGTTCTTGTATGGAAAACTTTTTTATGTATTAAGATATCTTAATCAAACTCGGCATTTAGATGTTTCACTATGCGTCTCATATCTATGCAAAATCTTATCTACATCGGACCCCTATATCAAATATCTGTCATGGGAACAATCGGACGAAAATTAGTTTCTTGCATAAAACACTTATTTGTTTATCTGTGCTTCTTAGATACGGACAAAGCATTATATAAAAGTTCGCCCTGCAAGGGTATTAAATGTGTGACGTGACAAAGCTAGACCTTCCTACTCATTTTATTTTGGCGTCGGCGGCGTGGGCGCCATGCATGACACACCCTGTTAAGCAACCCTCGCAGCTGGAAGCGCTGCCTGGAAATGATTGTGTAATGTCATCTCGCTGACGCGGCTGCTGCTGCCTCGACTGCTGCTGTTGATGATGATGATGATCCTGCAGTTGGGTGAGAAAGCAGGCCAACGTGCCAAATGGAAAACTCAACCAGCAGTAAACCAGTTTTCTGCTGCTGCTGCTGCTGCTTCTTCTTCTTCTTGCCCTACTTTGGTGGACCGCGAAAAACGCGAAAAGCGAATCGAGTTTTTCCCCGACGCTGAGTCACAGGTTGATTTGCCTCAAGGCCCGTTTTGGCCATTAGCCAAATGGGATTTCACACGCTTCCTTTGCCACGTCAAAATCCCTCTACCAGCCACCCCTTCGCCATCTTCGCTCCCGACCCTTCAGAGCTTTGCTTGATCAATTATTAAAACTCGCGCAGTTTTGCAGCGCTTTATTTTTGGTGGCAACTTCATTTGCATGGCCTGCATAAATGATAAGGCGCTTGTGGGTCATAAATCCACTTGGAATGGCTTCCCCCGAGCCCCTCCCATCGCCCCTTGCCCGCGTCTCATCTTTATCGCCAGTTGGCACATCATTTTGGTGACATTCCGCTTTGGCCTGACCCACATATGTCGCATTTGGCACACAAGCTGAGCGGTGGAGTGGGGGGAAGGGCGTGTGACAGCGAGGGGGTGACGGGGCTCTTTAAACTAATGCTGACAGGCCTCATGTTAATGTCCATTGCGATAAGCGACAACAACTGCAGCGACGTGCAACGTGCCCAATCCGATAAGATGCCCTATCTAGAAATTCTCAATAGGTCGCATATGGTTTCTGCTTTGGTTGAAGGGAAAACAATTGGAGGGGATCAATATGTGTACGATAACTCTGGTAAAGTGTTGATAACGCATTGGAGGTATTCCCTTTTACAGATAAAACAGATAATTAGCGGTATTCCTCTCTAAGAGTAGCTGCAGCTGGGAATATCCCTAGTAGTCCGTTGTAAAGGTGTATAAAGAGGAGAGCTAGACTTTGGTATTCCCCTCTTTAGATAATGAAAAAAAGAAGAGGTATTCCCCTTTAAGAGTTAGGGAAAAATGCAGGGAAGAAATAACAAGATAAGGGGTATTCCCACTTTACTTTAAGTGAATGAAGAACTAAGGAGAAATTAAAAGAATACAAAAAAAATAGCGTATTATAGCTATTCCCTTTCACAGATATTGCAAATAATGAGAGGTATTTTAGTCCCGTAGTACGGAATACCCACAATATTCCTTTGTTAAAGTGTACAAAAAGGAGGAATAAGAATATTTGGGGTATTCCCTTTTATAGCTGCATAGCAGAAGGGTATTAAGGGTTTTCCTACTTTACCTGTCGAAAGATATGCCCCGCACATTCCTTCGTAAAAGGTATATAATAAGAAGAGAAGATAAAGTAGATGAAGGTAAGCTAAATAGAGCTGCAAGCCCAAAGATATAGAACATTATGGATATTCCTTCATACACAGCCAAGGTGTATAATAAATTTCTTAAATGCGAGCTGAAAGTAAAATGCCCAATTCGCAGCTAAGAAATGAGTATGACTATGGCTATCATGAGAATGAGGTTATGATAAACATAACCTTAATGTCAGTTATATATATATATGCATATATATATAAATGTATGTCTAGAGTTTCCTTGACTTTTCCCATGTGCGTCCTTGTTAGCTTTGCAATCGGCAATTAAATTGCAACACGCTGTAAAAACTGACTCGACTCGAGTTGAGTTGAGCGCAATTTTAATTTGCAATGCGGCGTTAATTATAATTAAAACTATTCAGCTAAACAAATATGTGCATGTATAAATGGCCCGAGACGCGCGACAGGGCCATAGACATACATATATCTATATCTATCTATCTATATATATATATATATATATATATATCTATATATATGTTTAGATATATATAGATATGATATATGCATGGGTTCAAACATGACACAATTGAATTTTGTGAGCATTTTGCGGCACTTTGTAAGCCCCCTCTCCCATCTCTAACCCTGCCTCAATCTTCCTTTCCCCCCCCCCCCGCTCTCTTCCTCTCTTCCGCTCCCCCTCGCAAAGTGACGTGACATAAGCTAAATTGTTTTAAATTTTTGTTGAATCCGCTTCAGAAATTACTGCATAGCATTGAGCTAGCATATTATCTATCTAGAGTCTAGTTTGTATGCCCTAGCAGAGAGTACATTAATTATGTCTTGAATTATGACCCTGATTTTATTACCATCGAAACTAAACTGAATTCTAACCAAATTCTTGTCTTGAGCTTGCCTCTCAGAAGACTGGAGATCTTCAATCTCAATTTGGAGGCCTGTTCTTAGATTCTCCTGCATTTTATTTTCACATTATCGCCTTTACTGAGATCTGGCCTAAGCCGGACATCTCAGATTCCTTATAGATCAGATCGAACTGCCCGTATCGGAGGAGGAGTATTCATAGCTCAGTTAAGGCTTATATAAATATTTCTGATTAGCATCCATATAGCCTCTGCATGAAAAAGCCTATCACTTTTCAAGCCAACTCGTAGAAGATAGTTCTCTCTGCTTTAGACCCCTATATCATTCAGTTTTTGCTGTAAGTATTTGTTGTTTTCGATTATATACCTGCAACATATAAGAAAAACCTCATTAATCAGTCGATACTTAAATATATATATATATTTCGCATAAAGCGGGCAGATTTGAAATGAATATAATAAATACTTAGTTAAGCAATTATGTTTTTGTATGAGAAACTTTATTGTTTTTCAAGATATGTTCTGCTACTCGCCCATCTGCAAAGTCATAAATCTCTTAGAGTATTTAAAGTTCGGTCTACTCTCTGTAACTTTAAGCAAAAATCTGATATAGTCACAAACGCAAATGTTCTCTCTTTGATAGGGTATTTAAAGTTCGTCATACTTTACGGTTTTTCTGCGGCTTCCAATTGAAGTGTCTGCGTTGTTGAGCAGCTGTCATGTGGTTGGGTTTCGTCTGCGGATCTTTCACAGAAATCGAATAACCAGCTTCTGCTGCTGCTGCTGCCGCTGCCGCTGCGGTCAATAGTGCACGACATAATTGCTGATTGAATGCGGCTGTCATCAGCTGACGTCAGGCCCCCAACTGATTAATGGCAATTAGCTGGGCTTCCATATACAACAATTGGCCACATGAAACCCAAGTAATATCGCTGTAAATTCCGGGTTTGGGTCTAGCCACAAGGACTCTCGCATATATGTACATATAGCTGGTATATATCTGGCAAATCGAAGGCACGCAAACTGAGGACAAGTCACGCCAACATCTACGTATATATACTCTTATATGTATGTGCATACATGCTTCTCAGACATTTAAGTCTCAGCTAGGAAATGGGCTCCTCCATTTTGGCGCCATAAATCTGCAGCTCGCCATGTCGCATGTCGCAAGCAATTCGACAAATGGCTTCAAAAAGCACAAAAGGGTGTGCTCGATTGGGTGTGCACGACTAGCAGATACCCTCAATCAGCTACAACTATTCAAGCCTTGACGTAATCTGCTAGACTGGAGTCTACTTGCAAAATTTGCAGTCTCTAGCTCTTAAATATCCCGAGTTATGCAGAAAAGACAGAATTAAGTAATCGATTTTAAGCGATAACTCAGAAAGCGATAAAGTTATCGCTGATTTGAAAGAAGCTGGTTTTGTGTGTGCCTTGATAAGATGTGCATCCAAAATTTCGAGTCTGTAACTATTATAGTTCCCGAGTTTTCGAGATTCAAATATGGACAGCGGGACCATGGTCAGATCGACTCGCTGAGAATTTTTAGACTATATGGCATTGGAGAAGCCTCCCAAACACATGCACCAAACGTCATACCCCTTTTACCCTTTTTTAGTGGGTATAGAATATAAGAAAAGTGGCGCAACACTCGCATAAAAGTTTATACTCTCGCGTGTCGCACAATGGAAAACTATTTGAATACTGCTGTAAAATGTACGTATTTTCCTGGTATAGCAACAAAATAAATCTGTTTGACTTGTTGCCCGTGTGACACGACAATTTGTGACTCCATTTTGAGACTCAACAAAAGTTTGCTCTCTAAATAAAACTTTTGCTAAACTCTTCTTGTTTGATGATTTCTCAATTCTTCAGCTCTTAACTCATGATATTCCCTGTGCTAGCTTTCTACTAGTTGTCTATAGTTCAGGCAAGGAATGAAATTGCAAATAAGGTTTTTTATTTAAGTCTTGGATGTGGGATGTGGGACAAATAGCTGCAGAAGCGGAAGCCTCAACAATTTGCAGCTATTCTGTTTGTTGCAACAGCTTGTCGGTTGGCCTAGGGTAACTCTAAGTCGTTCATTACCTACTCATATTTCATTTGCTGTTGTTGTTTCTTGAATGTATTCTACGATTCAGCCAATTCTCAACACAATTATCCAAGTGTGTGTGCCTCTTGTAAGTTTTTACAACACCAATTTTTAGTTTTATATGAGCTTCAGAGTTATACAACACTACCGTAACTTAAAGTTGTAATTTTGTGTTGGATATATAGTTTTCAATCTCTTCTCTTTTCACCACTTATTTCCATGCAAGACAAATAGTGCTAAAGCTTTTATCTAGAGCCGAACCCTCAAAATTTTGCAGCCAAATCTCCTTGTTACAACAGCTTGTCGCTTTACTGAGGGTAACTTCTAGTCGTTCACACCCGACTGTTGCCTTCCAGTTTGCCTTTACGTGGAATTCCCAATGTTTAAACAGTTTACTTTGCTAAATTTAAACCACATTTTATCTGCTCAAGAGCTAGATAATATAACAATACTTAAGAGACAGGGAGAGAGGAGCGAGAAAAAACGGGGCTTTAGTTAATTAATTTTTACAACCGGGGGGGGTCTATTTATATAGCGTAACATCTAGTATTGTGCTCTTGCCGATATCAGCTGAACATATGGAATTTCAGTTAGATATTTTGAGCTCGATAAAACTGTTGTGCGCAAATAATTGGAGTGGAGCGTCATATCAAATAAATATAATAATAACTCGTGTCTATTTGGGGGCCTCAACTTAAGTACCTGGCTTGCAGGTTATCAGGCCGATAGGAATTGTCTTCCAATTGGTTTTTTCGCAATAAAAGGGCAAACGCGAATTTCCGCCAAGACATTCAACTCGACAGTATTCTTCTGGCACAAGAGAAACATGAATTCCGTAACTCTGGTGGGCCTGGTGCTCTGTTGTTTATTTGTGACATCGGCGTATGCCGGCAACGATTATCTCTGGGGCGAAATCGGACCCAATGACTATCAACTGGCCAAGGATACCGTTTCGAAGGCCTTCTTTTTGGGCCTCGTACAGACCAAGAAATACGTGTTCAAGCAGTCCGTGCGTAATACCCAACAATTATTGGAATTAGCTTTATATTTATCGTTTGATAATCTCCTGCCAGAATAACCTCGATGCCCTGACCATCACGGCCATTAGGGTCACCGACAAGAAGAAGAACAACGGCGCAACAGCCGTACTGACCGCAGGCGGACCCGGCTCCAAGGGCGCCACCATTCAGTTCACCTCGCAGCGCGGCTATGGCATCAAGGATCTGGTCGAGATATGGGGCCGATAAAACGGGCCAATGCAAAACGCTTGCTAACAAGCCTAAAAGTATGCCAAATCTCGGAATAAAGCTTCAAGCATTTGATATTCGGTGTGTTCTCTAATCTGACCTCTAAGTGACATTGAAACTAAACAAGTGTTGCCAGCTGCTGAAATTTGCCACAGTTCCAGTGTTGGTAAAGTCTAAACAGAAATAGAAATACTAAAGCTGCGCTTCACGTCTTTTGTGTGTTCTCAATGGCGATTGAGTCCAATATCTACATATTTGTTTATAATCTCACCTCTAAATGACATTAGAGGCAAAAAAGGGTTGCCAATTGCTACCGTTCCAGTGTTAGTAAAGTCTAAAGTGTTGTAAATAGGAAAACTAAAGTTGCGCTTCTGCAGCCAAGCTATAAAATCCCTCGTTTAGATAATATGAATTTAGATAAAATAGCAAACAGCTTAATTTATGTTAGTTTGAGTGTTGAAAAAGCCCAAGCAGTGCTGGTAAAGGCTTTGTTAAAGAGTGCAAAGCACAGCTAGAGAATAATTAATGCCAGTCAAGGGGCTTGCACAAGTTTTATGACGCCAAAAATACCCAATTCTTCAATTTGTATTATAATAAGAGCTGAAAATGTCCCTGCAGTGTTGGAAAAGGCCTTGTTAAACAGCGCAAAGCACAGCCATAGGCTAAATAATGCCAGCCACATGGATTTCAAAAGTTTTGTGACGCACAAAATACCCATTAATTCAATTTGTATTAATTTTAGTGCTGAAAAAGTCCAAGCAGTGTTGGAAAAGGCCTTGTTGAACAGTGTGTAGCCAGCCAAATGGGTTCCACAAGTTTTATGACGCACAACGAGTCAGTTTTTGAATATATTTTTGGCTGAGCTCAACTGGTTTTTTGCTAGAATCTACAGTTGCGGGCATCTAATCCCATTTATCAAAGTCTAGACGCTGCTGGCCATATATATTTATGTGTTGACTCGACACGTATGTGTGTGTGCGTGTGTGTGTGTGTGTGTGTATCTGATCCCACAGTCAGCACAAAGGCACTCGAAACCGAGCACAGAAAAAGAGAGAGAGACACACATACACACACAACTCGTCGCTTCAAGGCCAACTTCTTATTAAATGCCAAAATGTGAGCGTTTGTATGGAATAGAAACTACAAGATACAGATACAGCGCCAGCTACAGATACAAGATACAAGTACACGCTGCAGCTTTAAGCCAGAGCAGGATTATATTTACAGCAGGCCAAAAGATCTTGGCAGACCTGCCAGACTTCTTCGATATGTAAATCTAGCTTTGAAGATGAAGCCAGATACATTTAGTTACAGATACATTTGTAGATACAGATACAGCTGCAAAATGGCGTCATCTGCTGTCAATAAGTTGTATATTTACTCGCAGAATATGAACGTACTTTGGAGTCAAACGCGCTTCGCTAATGAGTAACAGTCTGTGAATATATATATATACATATAGAGTATATGTATATAGCCAGGCATATAGATAGATCTGTCTGTTTGTATTTACAGTCGTCGTCGTCGTCTAACTTAACTTGCTGCGCCCAAGGTCAGCCGCCTGGCTATGAGAAACTTTGCTGTGTTAGTCAGGGCCCCCCAGTTTGGAAGACCTTGGCGCTACATGCCCGTTAATCTCTGAACAATCCAGTAAACTCCAAGTTTCAATGCAAAATTTCAAATACAAAACACACACACACACAAACGTATTAATTATACATGACTGGCCGTGTCTATAGCTATGGAAATAAACGACATGTACGTGATTTCATGGCAACTTGTTTGCTCAGGTTCTCTCAACTGCAAAGTTGGCTAATAATTCAAATAAATTCAAGTCCAAAGAATGCGATATCGTCGTATTCCAGATATACCCATATATATATATATATATATATATATGTATATATACGAAGCGACAACTGTACATCAATTAAATGTACCTGGCTTTTAAGCAGACCCAGCCCAACAAGTATAATTTATTCCATGAATTAATTGTGACAAATTCATAGATTTATTTTCATTTTACATTTAATGTTTATATTTCTTGAATATGTGCCGCTTCTCAACACTATTTACATGCTATAGGCTTTTGCAACACCAATTTTTAGTGTTGTTAGAAAAGTTATACAACACTACCATTCTATTATAGATGCAATTCATATAGATAATTTTCCATCTCTGCTCTTTCTAGCACTAATTTCCAGTGTTGTATAAGGCAAATAGTGCTGCAATAATTCGTCATTTTCTCTTAGTCTATTCTATGCTAATCGCAAACCAAAACTTTTTTACACACGCACACACACACACACACTATGCAAATCGGTTCCATTTGAATGCCTGATTTAATGATCAGAAGCCACATTTGTCCCATGAATAACTACCACAAAAAAAAAAACTGAACAAAGCATTTTATATAATTTCTAAATAATTGAAACAGGAAAATTGCATCATCAACAATAATAACAAAAAAAAAAAAAAAAAACAACTCAAATGCATTCTTACAATTGCTGAGAATATAATTTGAGGGCGGCAAATGAAAATATTTATTATATACATATACACATACAAACATATATGTATAATAGTTGCCGCCTCTTAGCCACATGATCAGCGATCCGTTGGCCGCATCACTCACCAACCACATACACATACGCATGCATAAAGCACCCCAAACACACAAAATTCCCCTTGCACAGGTCTCACCTGTCCGGCTGAGTGTGCGTGTGTGTGTGTGTGTGTGTGATATGGTGTAAAACTTGTTTATTTGAAATTGAACGAATGATTCAATTTCTAATTCGAATTGGTTTTTGCGCGTACGTTTAGCAGCCTTTTGCTAATTGGACAATGTGCCCAGGTGTTAGAACGACTCTTCCAAAGCTTTCGGGCCATGTTTCAATTGATTTCTTAATCAACTTTTGTCAGCGATAAAATGCATACACATACATACATTAATGTATATACATACATGCGAAAGGGTCTATTTGTTGCGTTCTTCTAAGCACAAGAAACAATTATTATTTTCTATTTCTACCCATTGTACAGTTTTTTTTTTTTTCTGTTCTTCGTACACAAAACATACAGAGGCACACATGCATACATGCGTGCATGTGTGTGTATGCTGTCTCATTGGCAGACTTAGCAACAAGACAACAGCAACATAACATAGAAACCGACTGCGCGACCGTTTGTTCGTTCTGTTCACAGTCGTCGCGTCGTAACGGTTTCATCGCTTGCGTCGCCAGCTCTTGTTCGTGGAAAAAGCGTACACATTTGATAAAGCGTATGCGCGCGACAGAGCTAGAAATATTTATGCGTACGCTTGTGTCCAAATGTGTGTGTTTGTGTGTGTGCTTGCGTGCGTGTGCGTGTGCTTCTGGTGGAATGATAAAATGTGTAATAAAAAGAAAACGTTTCCAAAAAGCTGTTTGAAAGAGAGCATATTTTTTATTTTGAATTTTAGTGAGCAAAAAGTTTACAAACATATTCCAGCTTAAGAGTAGGTAATTTTAATTACTAGAATCACACAACTGTTATTTTCATTTGACACATTTCCAGGTTGACAGTTAATAATTAATTTAAAAATTGTAACATGTTGATACGCCCGCAATTTGTATAGGAGAGAGAAAAAGACTGACTATATAAAAAGCACAGTGAGTCCCCGTCTCGCTCCCACATAGGTTGCAGTACGTTGATAAAAACCGCTCACAGCTCGCACACGCTGCCATGTTGTTAATAGGAGACAGCAGCAGGCAGCAACAGCAATTGGGTGGAAAAACTTGTAAAACAAATACACGAAAAGCGCGAAGCGAGCGGGAAAAAAAATTCCATTAGATTTCTGTAACGTTTACCCCATGTAGTTTGCCGACGCCAAAAACGCGGCCAACTTTGTTCGCTGTGCAGCTGCAAATGGCGCGAGCAACTGCCGAAAGCAGCACACGAACGAAACTCGACGAAAAAGCCAACTCAACGAACGAGTGTACGAGTCTACGAAACGAAAGCGCTTCGTTAGAATTCGCGTCTGTCTGTCCGTATGTATGTATGTATGTATATGTGTGTTTCTGTTGTGTGTGTGTGCGTGTGTGTTGGTGTTTCATAAATTATGACGTTGGCCGAGCTTTTTTCTCTTTCGAATTTAGGTGAAGAAATATGTAATCAAGTACATACACACACATGTACAAATTTTTCAGACTTGCCGTCATCCGATAATAAAAAAGCACATGCAAAGGCCATTCAAACCATGTCGAAATAAATGTGTTTAATCAACGAGCTAGCGTGCTGCTGACGTTAGAGCGAGATGGCAACGCTTTTCGTTTCTTCCCTTTACTCTGCGCCATTTGTAAGTTGCGTAATTGTCGGTCGATTCAAAAAATGTGTCATTCAAGTTCCTGGTTTCTCGTCAAAAACGGCGCCTCTCTTTTGTGTCATCTATTCTTTTCATTTTCCATTCTTTTGTGCCAGGCAAATGCGCGCGCGAGTTTACGTAATGCGCGGGCTTTTTTCTTTTCTTTTTCTTTTCATTTTGTGTAAGTTTCGATTGGTACACGTTTTTTTTTTTTTTTTCTTCAGTTCTTATTGCTCACATGATACACATGGTGTAAATCGTACACACACACACATATGCATACACATGTACATGTAGTGTCTGTCGTTTCAGGCAAAGTTCACTAGAAAAAACCACCACCAACAAAGCGCTGCGCCACTGAACCACAACCACCACCAACCGCCGCGCCACTTATTTGACTATTTTCGACGTTAGCAACAACGGATTCTTTTGCTAGCAGCGTTGAGTAGTTCTTTTTTTTTTTTTTTTCATTTGTTGGTGCTCTCCTTTGGTTTTATACTCTTTTTTTTTTCACTTGATTGTATTTTTGTTGAGGCGCTGCAAGCGCACAACGAACCGCACGGTCCAACGTTCAACGCACGAATGAATTGACAGAGACGCCAGCGACAGCAACACGGCGACAAACCAGTTTTATATAAGCCCGCGCGTAAGTACAGTAAATATAAGCTGTATACGTGTATGTATTATTTTGTGTGTATGTGTGTATGTGAGAGCGCCTACGAGAGCAGCGCTTCA